TGTAGGTTATATTTTGGTGCATTCAAAATCAGCCTTCCCTAATTAACATATTAGTATGTTATAAATGGACTTCTCCAATTAATATATCAGCACGTTATAATTAGGACTTCTACAATTAATATAATGTATTAGTATAATTATTATTAGGACAACTCCAATTAACACACAGGACTGTTTTAATTAGGACAACTCCAATTAAGATACATGTCTGTTTTAATTAGGACTATTCCAATTAAGATATTTGTACATTTTAATTATTATTTTCTCTGATGCAATTTAATTAATACTGGTCTAATGTATATATTGGTTTATTTTAATGAGGATTTCTATAAATTAGAACTAGTATCATAATGTACAATTAAATAGGCTTTCAATTTGGAGAAATAATTAAAAATACTTATAAATCTATTAAAATTAACATTGAGTGCAGGAATCACGTAAATATTTTATGCATTTCATTAGAAGTTCTGTCTAGTCCCTTAATATATTTTATTCAAATTTTATGGTTAGTGTATGTGAATATAATTAACTATATGGTCATGGTGCTATAAACTATTTGTAAATTTCTCCTTGTTCATTATATGTTGATTTTATTTGATAACTGCCTTTGATCAAACTTCTTTTCCATTTGTAATGGTGGGCCTCTGTATTTAAAAAAAATATCACTCTGGGAGGAACTGGATGTATTATTTCTATTGTGTAAATAATTTACTTAAATCTCCATCCACTTGCAATCTTAAAATTAAGAGACAGAAAAAAATGATGTAGATATATTTATTTTAGTTTTTATTTATTACAATTTAAAGACCATTCACACCACAGAAGTAAGCATGTACAATTTCTTGTGTATTCACAGCATTTATGTTCATTTCTATCATTTAGGAATTTTATTTTAAATTTGAAATGTTATTTGTGAATTTTAAAAATTAAAAATTGTGATTAATTTAATGTGTCTGTGGTGTTTTTGATGTTGGGAGAGGCGAATGGTTAACACCTGTGCATTGCATCATAAGGTCTGCCATTGAGTAAAGTGGCATGGTTTTGATTCCCTGCTTGTACACCTGTCCAACCTCTTGAGTTTTCTCCGGGTCCTAAGTGCAAGCAAATCACTGAAATAAAATTGAACCATGTTAGTCCCGAAATGACTTTGTTTGTGTCAAGTGGATGTTAAACCCCATTTCTCTCTCTGGGTCTTTTTGATGTTGAATAATTATATGAAATAACATATTCTAGACTTCAGTATGTAACTTTATATACAACATGTCAGTTTCATTGTCATTTTTCTGGTTGAGAATTTCCTGTCAGTCCTTGACAAAACTAAGATTATACATAGATGTAAAGCTTAATTATTGACTATTTCAAATATCTATCCCAATATCGTAGAGGTTATAAGATCAAAATCCTTTTGAGTTAGGTCAAAATCTAATGAGTATGCCTGTAGTACTAATTTTAGTTTCATTTTGGAATTACTGTATCTACGCTGGAACACAAAATCAGTTGAACCACCTGCCTTGTTTATAAAATTGGAAGTTATATCCATAAATTAATTATCTCGCATAACTGTCGATAAACTATCTCCATGGTAAGCCTATTGTTTCATATATAACTGTGGATAAATCAGTTCTAGAAGAACCAGGAAAGCATATTTCAAAATGAAATGAAATGGGGTTTAACCTCCTAGTGTTCATCAGCGACTGGTATAATGAATTGTTTTAAATTGTTTAAAGTGGCATTTAGTAACTGAATGAGAATAACACATGACACAATTATGGAATACAAGTTACTTAAAGGATTTATTTCAGCGACGTTTCGAGGAGGGTTCTCCCGTCAAGCAAAGAATGACAACCACAGTGCAATGAAGATATATACTATTCACCTAATGAAACTGACGAAGAAACAAATGACAAAATGAAATGAAGTTCACATTCATCGATTTATTCCAAATGATCGTTAGACTAAGTAAGGCACAGACTGACCATTATAAGGGTAAAATGATACCCGGGGTCAAACAGCAAAGTTACCACAGCATCACAACCAAGTCAGTAACGGGTAAATCCTCCTCTGTTTGCCAAACAAGCATTGATCCGACGTGGCATACTCCTAATGAGACGTCTAAGGTCATTTTGGTCCAGATTGTCCCATTCCTGTTGCAACGCAGCAGCAAGTTCTTGGACATTGGCAGGACGTTGTTGACGTTGACGTAACCTCTGTCCAAGCATGTCCCAGACATGCTCGATGGGGGAGAGGTCGGGACTCAGTGCTGGCCAAGGTAATGTGGTGATGTTCTGTTGTTGGAGGTAACCTGTAACGATCCTGGCCCTGTGACATCTTGCGTTGTCATCCTGGAAGATGAAACGGCGGCCATGACGTCGTGCGAACGCCACAACATGGACTGCCAAGATGTTGTCCCGGTAGTACTGGCCTGTAACACGCCCTGCAACAACATGTAAAGCCGTTCTTCCAGCAACAGTGATGCCTCCCCACACCATAACAGAACCACCCCCAAATCGATCATGTCTGATGACGTTAACGTCTTGGAAGCGCTCGTTTCGACGACGCCACACCCTCCTACGTCTGTCCAAAAAATCAACAGTGAACCTTGACTCATCTGAAAACATCACATTGCTTCAGCGTCGATTATCCCAGTGTTGACGATCCCTACACCAACGACGTCTTGCCTGAATGTGATGATCTCTCAAACAAGGGATCACGCGAGGACGTCGGGCGCGAAGGTGACCCCTATGCAGTCGATTCCGAATCGTCTGGCCACTGACTCTCACACCAGTGTCTGTTTGAAGACGATCGCTGATCTGATTTGCTGTGATGACACGATTTCTCAAGGCCAAGGTACGGATAAATCGATCCTGGGCTTGAGTTGTCGCCCTTGGTCGACCTGAGCGTGGTCTGTCCTGTACAGATTGTGTATCACGGTATCTGGACCATAGCCTGCTTATGACAGACTGAGAAACATTCATCGTCCGCGCCACAACCGCCTGTGTTGTGCCGATCTGTAGCATGCCAAGGGCACGTAACCTTTCATTTTGGGTAAGCCGACGCATATCAAAATTTGTTTTCTGGTCACTAAAACAATTAAACTGATGTTTCCACCCTTGAATTCAATGCCACAATGACTGTAACATTCAAAGTCAGAGTCGTGCAAATCTTGGGTTGGACCCCCATGATGATCCAAAGCATCACCTGCATTCCATGCGGTAGCTATTGGTGCGTTTGGGCGTCACATGTAACTGGAAATGTTTCTTCTGTTAGGTTCTATAGTGACTTTTTTCGTAGTCATTTGCATATTTTAGTATTATGCCCCCAAAATCAAATATCCCCTACTTTTTTTGAATAGTATATATACAAAATATGGAACACTGTTGTATAATGAAGACGAGAAAATAAGCCTTCGATTGCTATTTTTATAAGCCCACATTTTCATGTTGATCTATACTGTCGTCGCCACTACAGGTCACAATTTTTATCCGATTTTGACGAAACTTGAAATATAGGTCTATCTCCCAAAGATCTCGTTTCCTTTCGATATTGGCATTTATCAGACCATAACTTTATGTATTATGGCCCCTGATTTTACGAAAAATCGCGCTTTTGGCTTGTGGTCCGTGGTATAGAGGTCACAATTTTTATTCGATTTAAAAAATAAATGTTTTAGTATATCACCGTTGCAGTCTAATGATAGTTGAGTTCGAATTTCGTAAAAATCGGACCAAAACTGTCAGACAAAATGGCCGCCCCTTGTACGCAAATAGTGTGAACATCTGGTATATCAAGGTTGTGGACCTCCTAGAGGTCCCAATTTTGATCCGAATTTGATGAAACTTGAAATGCATGTTTATAACCCAAAGATCTTGGTTCCTTTCGATATTCGCGCATATCCGATCGTAACTCCCTGAATTATTATCCCTTGATTGTACGAAAAATCGTGTTTTGAGCTTGTGGTCCCTATAGAGGTCACAATTTTTATCCGATTTAAAAAAAAAACGTGTGAATATATCACAGTTATGTTTTTATTTTAGAGATCTTGGTTCCTTTTGATAATCATACATATCCGATCATAACTTCCTGGATTATTGCCACTGATTAGTCGAAAAATCGCATTTTTAGCTTGTGGATTCTCTAGAGGTCACATTTTTTTCCGATTTTAAAAACTTTTTAGATAATAATATATCCCCATTCCACCATAATGAAGGTTGAATTGGAATTTCGGGAAAATCGAAATGAAACTGCCCGACAAAATGTCAGCCCCTTTTGCGCATTTCAGACCATAACTTTCTGGATTATGGGCCCTGATTGTACAAAAAAATCGTTTTTGTTTTTAGCTTGTTCTCTATCCGTCTCTTGCAAAATGTGGCAGTCGCTGATTAAAACTGTAAATAAGACATATAGGATAGAGTTGGAAATGTTTTTAAAACTTGTTTTATTCATAAGATCGTATCTTTTAAAACCCAGTCTTATTGGCGTTACGCAAACCCACGACTTTGTTGCTGGCGTCGTGCACGGCAATATGTATTTTGTTGGACCTCATGTTTTCGTCCTATCTGATTAGGCAACAACAGTTTACCTAGAGTGTCCCCGACTAAGCGAGGATTCAAACCCGGGAAACTAGAAAATTAAAATCTATCGGATGATAATTCTGACCTCTAACGGGAATTGTAGGACGGACGTCAATATACGACCAAATTTAAACGTAAGCACGATCTGTATTTATCTTTTGTTTATTCACTACTCACAACCCGCGCTCAAAGTGCATGAACAAGTCCAGAAATGTAGACATTTGGCTCTTTGACACGCGGACCTCGCAAGGGAGACGCTATACTTGCTCTATCAAAGCAGTCACACCCTGGTTATATAATATGGAATCAATGACAGGAGCCTCACCCTGATTATATAATATGGAACCAAGCTTTACGGCACACGTGAATTAAAGAGTATATGCGTTTCTGTATTGGTTCACAGTACTTTAAATTCATAGAAATCGGACAGAGAAATTTCAGCAACCATTTAATAATACATAATAATTAAACATGTACACAGTTTCAATGATAGACCTAGATGAAAATGTTATGTCTGTATGTCAGCTAATAGTTCCCATATACCGCACATAAAACGAGCTTAAAACAATAAAATATTTAGCATTAAAATGTATCTTATTCGAAATAGGTAGCGAAAACGCTAGCTACTGCAAGAAGATTTCCTTTCGTATAGGACGCACTAGCGTAATTGTCTGTATCGATACCCCACACACTTCTACTAGCAACTGATATGCCTTGGTTTTTATTTTCGCCTATAATAACATCACAAATAAATTTATATCTTGGACTGAATCCGATGTCTTTCATTCGATTTTTGATAACGTCCGATAAATCTTGAACTAGATTAGAACATAATTTGCTATCATACGTTTCACCACCCAAATAGGAATCCAGTACACTTTTAATGACTTTTTCCGCTTGGCTGGAGTTGAACTTTTCGCCGGGGTCCGGTCCCAATCTGTATGTATTCTGAACTTTGACTTGAGTGAAGAGGTTTTTTGCGCCAAATGAGGCACCTGATATACTGCTACGCGATACATGTGACATTCGACGCCCACTCATTCCATACTGGACGCTGGGGCGCGGGTCCATTCTTGACATGCGTCTTATATTTGGTTGCGTTGTCAAACCTTCCATGGTTTCTCTATTCATGATAGACATCCGCCGTTTTGGTACAGCGTGGCCATCTGGATGATCAACCGTTTCCATGGTAATAATATGTGTTCTTTAATAGCTTTGTTTCTGATTTAACCCCTTTTCTTCAAACTTGCTCCAATTCACTCATCAATTCCTGGCAATATACAAAAATGTGAGAAAAATATAACACAATATTTACAAAAACGCTAAAAGATAGCAAAACCTCTTCTATTTATGTAAAAATCAAATGAATTTGGTTGATCTGGTGTCATGTTTTGATTGTGTACGGCTGAATTTTTTGTTGTGACAGAATAAGCGGAAGTGGGTTTGTGTACTAATTTAGTTTCATTTTGTGGACTCCTGGCTTTATTTATAAACATACAATTTTCAACAAAGTCAGCTTGCAATCCCACAAAATAAATCCTATGATATCGCTAATTATATTTTTTTTTAACTCAAATCAAAGAAGTCTGGCCATTTTAAATGTTTACACTTCACATGCACCCCGGATCTTTCTGTGACTGTTTGAAGTTGTACCCCTAACCACCACCTGTCAATATCGCATGTGGCAAAAAAGTTTGAAATATAGTAGACCCATTTTTACACAACGTTCCACAAATCATTTCCAGAGGAGCCAGGGATTCACATTTTGAAAGGTAAATGAATAAGTTTTCGATTAATGTAAGATGTAACTAACTGCGTTTAGTTTGTTAAATGTTGAAAACGAGATATAGCATAGCATACTTCCCTCCAACAGTATCAAGAATACATAGTATAATACATGTACCGTAGTATACTTCCCTATCTCTAATGGTATCAAGAATAACTTCCCTATCTCTAATGGTATCAAGAATAACGTCCCTATCTCTAATGGTATCAAGAATACATAGTATACCTGCCTATCTGTATTTGTATCAAGAATACATAGTATATACTTCCCTATCTCTAACGGTATCAAGAATACATAGTATACGTCCCCTTCTATAACGGTATCAAGAATACATAGTACACTTCCCTGTCTCTAACGGTATCAAGAATACATAGGAAAGCTTTACTTTGCGGCATTCCCACAAACTCATACAACGGAAACATTTTTATCCAAGTTTTTTTGTCGGCTTATTTTCAAATCCATTATATTATAGTGTTGTAAAAACTCATATTGCACTCGAAATAATATATTTTTTAAACCAAGGTTAAATTCCTCATTATTCAGTACGTTTTCAATTCGTATGAACATACTCAATAATTTATAAACTCAGTCCATTCATACAAAATGTGTTAGTTGGGTCTACAGGGGTCAATGTAACATAAAAATACGGTTATTTCGGTTCAGTTAAAATTACCAAATAACAAAATATCACGTGCCATATTAATACGTTTAGAGTATATATAAGTACACAAATATAGGTATAGTGACTATCGGTATTGTAATATAACAATATTTGAAATATGATATTAGAAAATTATGGGATAATATAAGAATTGTTATTAACCCACATGTATCAAATTATAACAGAAATATAGACGACTACGCCTTACCTATTATCATAACTAATTATAACCAGTATTGTCCACGGTTGTGGGGGTATCAGTGTAACCGGGGTATCAATAGTCAATAATATCACCATTATTAATTACCACTTCTAGAACCAACAGTTTACACGCCCATGCATACACATATCATATACAGAATACAATTAAAGATGCACTATATGAGAGCTAAATCTGCCAATTGCAGGTCTTTTGCTTCAAATATTAAATAAATATTAATTAGACATTTATTCATATGACAAGCCTATAATCAGCTCTCAGACCATCGGACGGCCTTGATATAGAATGGAATAAAACACAATTGCCATTTAGTAACTTAACGTAAAAATGAATAATGGAGACTTTGTTTATTATCATAGCAATAATACTTGACAATCTAGTCTATATTGTAAAAACTTCAAACACTTACAACGTCGCTCAGAATAAAGAAATTTGACTGAAATTTATTTATTTCTCATCGTCTATTTTTTAACTATTTACCGATCAGCGTTTTATCTAAATCTTACATAATGCATCTGTAGTCATTATCTGCTCATCAATGACTTTATATTAATAAAGAAAATCAGAATGTTTTAGCTGTTCAATTATTGAAATTTACAATGAGGTACATCGATTAAAACGGAAACAAAAATCGTCCGTTTGATATTGAAGCCGAATATACCTGAATACAAATCATATTTGGTTACCACCTGCCCCCCCCCCCCAAAAAAAACCACCCAAAGCATTTATATATTACAGTCTATCGAATTATTTATGTTATGACTAGTTTGTAGTCTGTGATAGTATCTGTTAAACTTCACATCATCGCCTTTAACGGTCCTTATTCATTAAATAATTGAAAATTTAAAATATCTATACAGGCCATTTCATTGCGATTAAAAACAAACAGCAGTAAATGCCCCATTTGATTATTGTGGACCTTCTAGTTTCTTATTTCGTTTGGTTGTTGTGGGAGGTACTTTAATTTAATGCTATAATTAAATTTCAGAAAAGTTAAGTTACTGGATTATCTAGATCATGTAAATATACACTCAATTAAACAAAAAATATTTGTTAATGACACTCACCTAAATTCTGACAAGTAGATACTATACTATATAATCCTTCAAATAATATAACCAATATATTTTATACTAAATATGAATACTGAACGAATAGACGAGTCGATCACACTCACGACACCCTTCGTTTCATCAGACAGTGTGCAATGTTTGACTGTTACTAAGCAGTGTAATGGCGATATTACACATGTCCCTTAGCCGCGTGTTCAATAATAGGGATTTGTTCCTAACGCTTAACCTTTTAAAATCAGAGTTTAGTGTTGCGGACACCTAGGATTAACCGTGCCATGCATTATAACAATTCAATCCCGACGTAAGCCGACTATAATAGAAGTCGGTCTATTGATATTATACACAGATTTCGATATATAGAAATATAACTAACAGGTTGATTTGTTATTATCACTATGTATATTTTGCTTATTATACACAGGAGTCTATGTCAATTTTGACACATAGAAGTTCTGTCAATGTACATCAAAGCGTTTTTTTTTTATTTTACAACTGAACATATTAAATACATTTCACGTCTTGATCTTGAGTCATTTGCAAAGAGAGAGAGAGAGAGAGAGAGAGAGAGAGAGAGAGAGTTTAACGTCCACTCGACACAAACTAGGTCATTTCGGGACTAACATATGGTTTAATTTAATTTCAATAATTCGCTTGCGCGTAGGGGTCTTTAGCAGTGGGAGGAAACCGGAGGACCCGGAGAAAACCCACGAGGTTGGACAGGCGACCCTACTCCTTGTCACGTACAACCGGGGATTCGAAACCACACCAGTTGACTCAATGGCAGACTTTATGATACAGCGTGCACACGCTAATCATTCTCAGCCATCCACCCCCCCCCCCCAGCATTTGCAAAGAAATGGAATATATAAAATATATATAATTAACTAAAGAAAAGGTATTAATCAGATGATTAACAGAATCAGCCATCAACAGCATCATGTACTTAAATGAAACGTTTGTTATTGTAAATCAATACCTGTGTACTTGTAATCTATCATCTCATACAACATTTTAGTAATCAGCATTTAATTAAATGTCTGAGCAAGTAATTTACGTTTGTTTAATTTATATCAACGTTTGTTATAGCAATTGTTTTAATACTAATAATAATACTATAAAAATGTTTGTCTTTAACAGGCAGCTTTTGTTTTTGAATTTTATCATCGGCGTTCATACTTTAGGAACTTTTCATCATGCAGAATTTGTTATGGTAACTTACATAAAGTCCACCTTTCTCGTGTAGCATTTGTAAATAAAACTGTGTAAGTAAGTCAAATGATTTTTTATTTTCCTTAGATTTCTGTGGTGTTAGGCAACGTGAAAACGTGATACAAGTATTTGTCACTTTATTTTCTCTTTTGTAGTCCCTGTATGTTACTAACTATATTGATTTCTTTCAATAATGTTGCCATTAAAAAAGGCGATGTCACTTTTTTTTGTTGTTGATTATCTTTGACTTCTGTGGAGTTAAGCAACTCAAACACGTTAGATAATATACGTCGTTATAACATTCCCTTTCGTAATATCTGTATATAATTAACTATATTAATATTATCGATTATGTTTGGTTTATTGCATATTGGACTTTATAAACCACTTCTACTGTTCTATAACAACCACCTCAACTAGAATCAATATTATTACTGATATGTTAGACTTGATACTTAATATATAGGTCTATGTCAACAATCAACATACCCACAATAAACAAACTGTTTGTTCTTGGCATGTAAAGAATAATATTTGGACGGCTTTAAGTCTTAAGGTAAATATTAAAACCCAATTATAGACTATAGTATGATACATAAACTGGCTTATGGTGGACACCACAGCAAATACAAATGTATATTAAAAAGTCTATAAGCTATGTGAACTCCTGGAGTGGTATCGGGTGTTTTAGAAACAGTAAGTGTTCCCTGTCACGTGAACGACACCCGTTGAAACTTATAGCTAAATGGTGGCTATATTGTTCTACTTGTTCAGTGGACTCAGTGATTTTCCAGATTTGCAGTTTTATACCACCCTAATTGTATAAGTTTCTAGCATATACGTATCTTATACAATAATCCGATCAAACCAAGTGGGGGTTTAAATTGCAATTGAGGTTCATGAAGATCATAAGATTTATAAGTTTATTTTACAGTGATAATGAACATATCCATTACATTAACTGTTATAATAACTGTTAATAAATCCTATTCTTTTAATGAAGCGTGTAATAATCTACATAGTAATTTAGAAAGTCCAATTAACCTAGTATTGTAGCAAACAATTACCAGAATTATCCAGTCTTACGTCCAAAACAATGCACATCATACGCATGTATCTGCATAATTATAAACCATGCCTTGGAGCCGCGGTGGCTCAGTCTGTCTAAGGCAGTGGTTCAATAACCAGGCGGCCCGGGGTTCGATCCCGGTATTGTTCGAGAAAGTTCCAAGGATTTTTCGGATGGGACGAAAAGCCGAGATCCTGTGTACACGTTGGCGTGCACGTAATAGAACCCCGTAGAAGGCCGTAGCGTCGCTGTCCGGGCAAATCTCCCTAATAGCATACTGTATAGCGTATGTGATGTCCGTCTTCATTAGCCAAGTCGGTGCAGAGAAGTAGGACGTTAAACCCCATTTCATTTCGTTTATAAACCATGCTAGTAATAATCATGTGTAAATAGTTGTATCATAACAAACGTCCAAAGTTTTGTTTTTAACGATGCGATGGCAAATGATTTCTATCAAGGGCAATAAACGGCAAATTGTATAGGGGTATTCTTTTCGAGCCCCAAACACTGGATCTTCTTAACTAGTAAAAATTCTGCAGTTAATTTCTGCAACCTTTGAATTTAAAATAGGCTTACAAATTGCATCCAAAAGACTTATCCGAAATCTAAATTTGTCTATATTGCAGGTCGTTTTTCTAGTTTAAAAATGTTGTATACATTATTATTTAGACATTAATTCACATGACAAGCCCATAATCGATTCTCTGGGTCATATGGTGGTTTAGATATTGAGTGGATTAGACAAAGTTCGTCATACCTGCGTTAATCGCTAATATGACCAACCAAGCCGAAATGTTCCTATAATACCGATATACACAGCTTTATATTCATTATATTAAAAGTCTTATTTGGATTAAAAGTAATACAAATTTAATTAAAATTTAATTGCACCCGCTCTCTGAAACCAGAAGAAAGTAACCATCTCCAAGACGCTCACACCAGGGATCAATTAAACCACGACCGCAAGCAGTGGTGACCGGCCAGCTATAGATAGAGCTCGAAGCGTGACACTCTAGATCACTAGCCCTCACCCCTCGCTATCGGAGTCATTACCACACCCCTTTTTATAATATACTATTTTGATTATTGGCAAATTTTATCTAAATTGTTCGAATCAGTGATCGATTCGATCAATCAATTACCATAATACTTCATACTTTCTTCATAACACATAAAACAGATCCATTCATTGAACCAATCATTTTATCGATAAGAAAGAAATTATAACAACCGGTATTGATGACAATAGATCGTTGACGGGGATATATAATAGTCAATAAATCAATAGATCAGACGAAGTTAATACAACCGACTGAAGCTGTCTATAATAAAGAGTTTCTGACACATTGTGTTAATAACTGATAATGCCTGGATAAATTAATATCTTTTGAACAATAGCAAGTCTAAACTCAACAGGGTTGTAAATAAAAATCCATAATATGGCATGATCTACATCTGGAATATATAGTTGCCATCCTAGGTATATTTCAGTGAAAGTCTACGTGAGAGGCTCATCAAAGTTCACCAATTAAGGATTTCCGAACAGTGCGTCAATATTTTCCATTGGAACTTACAGACATACTAGCTAGGCCAATTTGGCATTTGACTTGCGTTCAAACCCCTTCGTATTAACGGATAACGGATAGGGATAGTCTAAGTTAACCATCAGAATGTCCCAGAAGGCCTGGTGATGGTTTCAAATCCAGTTCTCTCTTGTGAGTTAAACTAGGAAAGACTAGAGAAGTTAAAGATTATCGTATTATATCTTTCAACAATAATACGTATAAGAGATTTCATGGATATATTTCAACCAAAGATAATATCAAATAAGACACACACACTTGGTTTTTTTTTTAAAGAAAACCTGGTCTCGCGATAATCGGATTACTTCTTACTAAGAGTAAAAAAGACCAATGGGAAGAATTGATTGACATTTAAGATCAACACTTAGATCAATCATTATTTCAGATTGTCACTACAGAACAAGAGTTCACAATCTGGGTTAAATATACCGCAAGGGAATAAAATTAATGTTCTAATGCTGGATTTCAAGTTTTTTTTAAATATTTCGAAGACAAGAAATGAAACAACTATGTTATATGCGATGGCTATTGTTATTTGAGCGTAAAATAATATAGTATTCCCCCCCCCCCCTTCTCTTTCATTGGAGCTGCGGTGGCTTACAGAGTAAGGCGGTGCCTCTCTAACCTGGAGGTACCGGGTTGGATCTCGGCATTGGCCGAGAAAGTTCACCTTGTCAGTGCTGCAGTTAGTGCGCACGTAAAATAACCCTTGACAGTTGAAATTCAATTTCTCTCATAGCACACCGTATGGTGCATGTTCTTCTTCAATAACCCAGTTGCCACAGAAAGGTGGGGCGTTAAAGCCTATTTTATTTGTTCATTTTATCGGTTGCTTTATGTAATGGAGAAAGTTCTTACTTAAAGTCTTGCACACCTGTTCTGTATTGAACAACATCTCATCTAATTAATAGTGAGCTAAGCTTACTTCATAGATAGCCCTTAGTAGGTAACCATGATCAAAATAACACATTTTTACTTTGCCCCATGACGTCAACATGTCTTCCTCTAGTGGAAATGAAATGTTTTTGACACAGTCAACTTACAGAAAAACTTCTAAGGACCAAGATACCGATCTCGTATTAAGTGAAGTGTTACATATGGAAATGGAACAGCCAAATTTTCTTCTTAAAACTGATTTATTTTCGGATATTTCGTAGGAATCGGAATCTATTAAAAAGTCTGCCATGGAGATACATAAGTCAGGTATAACTATTCAAGCGAACGACCTATCAATCCATCTAAAATTTTGATTAGTAATTTTCATGGTGAATAAAATGTTTACGATATTACA